GGTTCCATGCTGGACCGCAATCTCTTCCTGGCTTTGTGATGCTAGACACACTGTTCATCCTCCCTGTGCCTCAATTTCCTCGGTTCATGCAATGAGGATATTAAGGAGACTACCTGCGTCTCTCCTGGGGGCTCCGGTGAGGATTCTCTGCAGGATCTATATAAACAGCTTCTCACAGGCTTAGAACAAATTTAGCACTTGGTAAGTGGGTTCTCATTGCTTAGGTACAGTTCCTGCCCTGTTTTACTTAATTAGGTCCACAAGGCTCTGTGGAGCCTCCCACCTCACCATTCTTTGGCTTTCCCTCAGTGCAGCCCTGTTCCTGCCCTGCTTTCAACTGTCACAGTCCCCACTAGGCTGCTTGGGAGAAACTCCAGGGCCAGGGGATTATGCAAATCTGCAGATTCCGGAGAGCAGTGTTTATCCGGGGCTGCTCCTTGCAGTCAGCTCTTAGCAGCTGGGCCTCAGGCGCCTTCCCAGAAGCTTCCTTCTCTGTCGTTGCAGCCTCTAGCGGACAATAGCGCTGCACAGTCCTTTCTTTGCTCCAGCTCTCATCTGGGGAACTCCTGGCTTCCGGGGGGCAGGTCTTTCTCAGGAAGGAGCATGCGCACCTGCCTCCTTTGCTCTCCCACTCACGCTTCGTTCTTCCCTCTCTCGGGTTCTGAGGGTGAAGGCTCTTCAGGAATGTCACTATTCTACTGCAGGGCTCTCTTCTGGCTGCTGGTACCCGTCACATCCCTCAGGGCCAAATCGAATGCTACCTGCTCTGGGGTAAGAAATAAACCCACCCACTTGTGAAGTCCCCAAGCTTAATGTCTTCCCACTGCCAAAGCATGTAGCGCACAGCCTGGACCCTAGTGCTTTGGATTTGCGGAGCTCCCTGCTGGCCTGCAGATACCAGAGTAGGGACCTCCATACCCAGCACAGGGTCTACTCATGCATAGTGCTATGGATCAAAAGTCTAGACCTTCCAAAACGTATAGCTCAAAGCCCTAATTCTCAATGCAATGGCATTTAGAAGTAGACTCTTTGGAGAGCAATTAGGATTAGGTGAGGTCAGGAGGGTGGAATCCCATGATGGTAGTATTGTCCTTAAAACATGAGGGGATCAGAGCTCTGCTTCTCTGCCATGTGAGAATTCAGCTAGAAAGCAGACATCTGCAAGCCAGAATGAGGGCCCTCACCACACACCAAATTTGATCTTGGAGTCCCTAGCCTCCAAAATTATAAGAAATAATTACCATTGTTTAAGCCATCCCATGTAAGGTATTTTTGTCATAGCATCTTGAACTTAGATCCATAGAAAATGACCAGCAAGTGTGTGAAAATGAATGAATGAATAAATAAATATCTTTCAGTTAATTGCTAATTATCTTCCTGTAATTTTTCCAGCCATTAACCTGCCACCACACATTTCCAGTACAATGAACTCATATTCCTGATGGTGGCACTGAAGTTCAAAGAGATAAAGCACGAATGTCTGGAAAGGAAGAGTATCCTCACCAGGAAATGCAACATTATTATCTGTCAAAGACAGCAGGTAATGGGATCCTTACTCTTCCTCCTCCATCCATTCCACTTTGGCTTAAACTATGTCAACATTTATGCCAACATCTACTTCACTCAGCTCCAGGAAGTCACCTTCATAATGTCCACTCATGCCTGCTTTCAGAAAAGAAGAAAAACCTTGCTTGAGCTCCTATTTACCGTGGATCAGACACTTGTACACAACTTACGCCATCTTTGCAACCATGCTTCCAGGATGGTGTCATTAACTCCTGCATGCCACAGATGCAGGATGAAAGCTCAGAGGAGACTTTCCTGCAGAAAGTCACACATTCCTGAACAATAGAGCTGGGCCCCGACCCAGGTCGCTCAGATCCCAAAGCCATGCTTCTTTTCCTGAACTCGGTGAGCCCAATTCCAGGGCTCAGCTCAATCAAACTCCCAATCCAGACATTCTGTGATGGAAACCATGAACTGGTACGAAAGGGGCAGCTGGGCTCTGTAGGGTAATGATGCCATCCTTGGTCCACTTTTTTTTTTTTTTTTACATGCATCAAGAGTCACCAAAAACTTCTCCTGAGAAACAGGAACCAAGTTTAGTAAGCCAAAAGAAGGAGGAGAGAGAGACTGGCAGGGCCACCTCTGGGAGGAGATCTCCATTCTGCACGCTTTGGTGCTGTACACACCTGGTGGCTCCCTGCGTGAGAATTTGCCTGTCTTTTGCCCTTAGTCACCAAGGACAGCTTCGAGCGCCCCTAGTGGTGGCCTGCACCACCGGCGTGCAGCAGAAACCGGACTGACTGGCAGAAGCTGTGCCTTGAGCCTATCCGAACAGCCTGCAGGAATGGATGCACCAGCAAGAACCTGAAACAAGCCACTCTGACCCGGAAATACCCTTTTGCTTTTTGGATGCAGAAGGCAATGAATGTTACATGATTTTTCTAACGCCCAAGTGCACCGTGTGAGCACAAGAAGAAGCCCTCAAGCTTGGATGACGTGGTCCCTGGCAGGAGCTAACAAAACTCCATGAAAAAATAACACAGTAAGGAAAAGTCTTTAAGTGAATCTAACAACAATGCCCATTAGAGAGGGGGAAGAGCAGGTGAACTGAGACTTACTGAGCAATATTACATTTGCTTTATTAATTTAAGAGAAAAAGAAAAGAAATTCCACTCAGACTCTGCAATCTTAGCACGTAGTTACAACTATTCCCCATGTGCCCATCTTAGACAATAAGAAGCCTCTTCAAAAACAAGCTATACTTTATACTTATTCATGCCTTACAGCAAAATGGCCCAGAGAATCATGTGCTCTGCATGAGAATACAGCAACAAGTTCCTTTCAAGTATTTACAGATCCCCTCATTCCACCAGGAACAGAAGGGCTAGTTTGTAACACTGTATTAGGTGAATGTGTCTCCGTCTGACATCAGTGGATGTTCGGCTCCACTGTAAAAATAGAATTGATTGTGGAAGGTCAATTGTTTCCAAATGCACCATCGGCATTGGGAATGTTCATTGGCTATCCTTGCTCCCTCCTTATGACTCAGAGTCCGGGAAGCAGAACCACATCGTCATTAATGAACCTTCTGAAGCACTACATCAGTTGACTTTAATTTGGTGGTGACCTGAAGTTAATTAAAATACATATATGCTGGCTAGCCATAGTCGCACAGTTGGGAAAATAATATGAAATGTCTTAAAATTCAAAATATACACACACCACCCTCCTACACAGAGAGAGAGGGAGGGCAGAGGGAGGAGGAGAGAGGAGATAGAGAGGGAGGGAGAGCAAGAAGAGAATGCTTGTCTTGGGTGACAATTCAATACATGCCATTAAGATGTTTTTCCTGGAGGGTTGTGCATTGGAGAATATAGATCGCAAAGGTAGAATCCCTTTAGCAAAGCCAGCAAGCCTCTGGGTAGCTTCGGAGTGTGTGTGTGTGTGTGTGTGTGTTAGTCAAAACACAGATTCAAAAGGGGAGCAGGGAAGGGAGATCTGGACTCAGTTCAAGGCCACCAAGCCATTGTTGGAAAGAGACAGCTAATTAAGAAAGAGCATGCTGTGGTGGAAACGATTTATTTAAATCAAATCTGTTCCCCCATCTTTCCTAGGGAAATTGTCCGGAGCTGGTGTAAATTGTGAATATCACCGCCTCATAAAAGGTGGCTTCTAAATGATATGCTTTGTTAAACAAAAGGTGATGAATGACTTCTTTTTCCCTGCACCCCGGGCTCCACGTTTAAAGAGAAGGGGCTGAGGTATAAAATGCCTGATTTATGCGGAGGAGGGCACTCCATGCATTGGGGAAGCATGTCAGAAGGAAAGAGACCTGAGTTAGGGCCCACGGGCGAGAGCTGTCCGGGCCTTTGGTGCTGAACGCAGGTGCGCGCGCCAGGGGTCCAGAGCTCCCGGCGGAGAAACGGCACCTCTGCCTGTCCCTCCAGTTCCAAGTCTAGATGGCCCAAATGAGACGGGGCTCCAGATGGGCAGGACACGCGCCCTGCGGCTGTCGATAGCCCGGGCCGGCACTGCAGTTGCCTTTTGTTTTCCACGTGAGGAGCGAGTTTCTGGGAACCAGTTAGACCTCTCGAGAAAGAGAGATTGAGTGGCTCCACAACGCCACCCCCCCCCAGCACAACTCAGTCTTCTGATGGCTTGCTCACATTTCCGCAGCTCTTGTGGTTAGTCTTGGGTAACTTAGGTGTCCGATTCCTCCCTCCCTCCCAACCCCCTCATAACTTTTCCTGGGGGACCTGGTGGCCTGGAGAGAGGATGGGTGTCCAGGTCTGCCAAGGAGGAGCAGCGGCCTCCATCAAAGTTGAACCCTTCTTCCCACCCAGGAAGCACGTGGTGGGTGAAATCAGCGTCCCCTCCCCACTCCTGACAGCGATCAGAGATGCTAGGCTGTGGGGGGCAGGTTGGGGGAGTCCACTCAGGTTCCCGACCGCCACCTAATATCTCCTCTCTACCTTGCCAAGTTTTGGACCCTTGATCCCCCTCCACCAGCTTCAGTCGAAAAGCCACACCCAAGTCCTGAGGCTCGGTGGTAGCTGCAGTAAGCAAGCGGGTCCCCTCCGCCGGGACAAAGTCCAGTCCTCTGTTACAGGCAGCACCCTTCTCCCTGTCCTCTCCCGGAAAGGCAGCATTATCTGGCACCCAGCCCCGGGTGCGGTTGCAGACAGCTCCGGGGATCTGGGCTTTGGAGGCGACCCCACTCCAAGGAGCTCTTCTGTGGCTGCAAAAGGGAGCCAGCCCCACGGCCGGGGAAGACGGAAAGGGAGCCCGCACCCAGGCGGGGAGCGCCCGCGTCCTCCACACTCATCCCCACCGACACACTCCCATCGGCCCGGCCGAGGGACGCGGTTCCAGCTGGAACGCCAGCAGCCGCCTGCGCTGCCCAGGCGGCCGGGCGCTGCCCGAACGGCGGGGTCCTCCGCGACCCCCGCCGCTCGACGCTCGCGACAACTTTGCCCCCTTCCCGGCCCGCTTACCTCCCGCTAGGGCAGTCGCCGGGCTCCCCAGGAGCAGCGCGAGGAGCAGCGAGACGCCGCCGAGCCCCGCGGCGGGCGGCCTGGCCACGGGCATGGTGGCTGCGGGGCGCGCGGACGGCGCGGGAGCCGGGAAGGAGGAGGGCGGCGGCGGGCGGGCGCTGTGGCCGACTGCGCCGGGCGCGGCGGCGGGCGAGTGAGGAGGAGCCGGCGAGGAGCGAGCGCGGAGGAGCGCGGAGAGCGAGCGGAGGCAGGGAGGGAGGGGCTGGGGCCGAGGCTGCGAGCGGTGCGGGGAGGGGCGCGGGCGGCGGGCGGCGGGCGACTGCCCACGGCAGGCAGGCACCCACCCGATGGATGCCCAGCTCGTCCTCTGGCCGCTGGCCCGTCGGCCCTGCAAAGTTGAACGCCAATTCCCCTCGCGTCCTGTGTGGGCTGGACGCTCTCTCCCTGCGCGGATGCCCAAGGCAGCCCTGCCCTGGCGGCCAGGGTTTCCTTGAGTCCAGGTGGCCTCCACGCCCAGCCTGCTAGCAGCCAGGAACTGTCCAGAGAGGCTCCAGCCCCAGCTCTCTGCAGACCCCTCTGGGCCCGCGCGTGCCTTCCTTCCTTTTGGTGTTTGCAAAGTGAACCCCGTAACCTAGAAACTCTCCAACTCTGTGGATCCCAGGGGAACTGTGACTCTCACTGGAACAGCATCCAGGTCTTCAAAACTCTGCATGGACACCAGTGGTTCTCCAGCCCTCTCAAGGCAAGCCACGGCCTGGAAAGTACGGATCCTCTCTGTCCTGACGTCCATGTCTTGCATTCCGGTGGTCAGAATGGCAATGGGGCCAGAGTCAGGCCAGGCTTCCTCTGCTGGCAGCCCTTACCCTTACATTCTGCTTTCCTCCCTGGAAACTGGGTTCCAGGCCCACCTTCTACTGTGCCCTCTTCCACCTCTGATTCTAAAGCAACCTGTGTTTTTGCCTCAAATAGAGGGAATGGGGGAGACAGGCAGCTACTTGGGGACAGGCCTTGGCTAAATGCAGGGTGGAGACCTATTTCCTTGTGCTGCATACACACCCCTGGCAGACCGAGGGGGTTCCTTGGCCCCCTTCCCATGTAGAAGTCCCCCCCTCCCTGTGCTCCACTGTGCAGACCCCTGCCCCACTGTCTGCCTCCCTTGGCCTGAGAGAGCAGAGGGTACACAAGGAGCAAAGCTTGCAGGCAGCACGGGGAGGAACACGTCCCTTAGGTCCCTGCACTCCCAGACCTCCCTGTTCTCTCGCTCCTACAATGCCATGTTTGTCACCATAGGCTCAGATCCACATCAAGTTTGGGCAACCCAAAAGCCCCATCCAATCCAAGCCTTGGCTGCAGGAAGTTTCTGCTGCTAACAGGAAACTATGAGGTTTTATAAAGAGGGAGGTGGAGGGAGGCATGCAGAGGGCAAGCAGGAATATTTACGGATGAGAAGTACAAAGAAGCAGAGAATGTGGGGGATGGAGGAGAGGGGACAGTGAGCGAGGGACACAGAGGTGGCCCAGCTCAGGGGGATGTTTATAAGCAGGCATTATTTGCAGGTGCTCCCTGCTGTGTGTAGTTTTGTCACCACCTGTCATGAGTGTCTAACCCCTAGGGAGCATCCCACACTGGCCAACAGCCCTTAGCCAGGATGCAGCAGGCTCAACGTCAGGTCTGAGTCCAGAGCCAGAAACTCTTGCACCTCACAGGCAGTGTTTTGGGAGTTCAGTGGCTGCCCTTGCACTGTGATTTGATGGCCCTTGCCTTGGCTCTTCAACACCTCCTCATCACGATGACTAAGTGACAGCCATTCTTTGCATAAAGGCACCGAGTTTCTAGAAGGTGTCTAATGCAGGTGGAGTGATACCATAAACTGTTCATCCGCTGAACACCTGGGCTGGAATTCACTCCAAATATAAGGGTCACCCAGGAGCGATGCCAGGACTTCCCCCCTCTATTGCGAAGAAACATCATCAAGCAAATAGCATTCTTCCAGCCACCAGAACAGCTTGCAGCTGAAAATCTTCCCCCATTACAATTCTTTTTACCATTTTATAAATGAGGAATCTGAGGTTTAAGGAACCACAGTGACTTGCTCGATCTCAAACGCTTTGTCCATCTACGTCCCGGCTTTGAGTCTTCTCTGTCATTACAGAGCACCCTGGCCTACATTCTAGTAATAAAGTGGACTTCCTGCTACCCACTGCTGCCTGGGGAGAGAATCCCAGTTTGTCTGCAGAAAAGATGAAGTGTAGCCCCAATTCTGCCCATCTTCTGTGATGCCATGTGGTAACTCAGCTCCTATGCTGTTAAAATTAGTCCACTGGAGACAAAGGGTTAGAATTTGTGTTTAGCCCTTCCTTGTGGGAAGTCAAGGGCAAGTTACTTAACCTCTCTGAGGTTTATTTTCCTCTTCTGAGGAGTAGGGATAAAAATAACATCCATCACATGGCATAATTGACAAAAGTGGATAATAATATCCTTGTGGCATGAAGGGGTACACTAGCATTTATTTCATAAAGCTATAGAGAAGATACCATGCATTGTTGAACTAAAGCATTTGGGCCACATTTTTTGGCACCCAATTAGACAAGTTATCATCACCATCATCCTCATTACCCAAGAAAAAAAACACCCAATTTTATTCTTGGTGTTCTAAGGGAGTAGGCAGAGATAGGGGGTCTGGTTCCTCTTCGGCTGACTCTCTATGTGATCTTAGGCGAGTCACCAGCCTCTCTGGGCTCCTGTCTCCCTATCTGTTTATCCACCTATCTGCTCACCTATCTGCCTATCCACCCATCTGGACATCTCTCCACCTACCCCTCTACCTATCCATCCATCTACCTTCCCATCCACCCACTCAGCCATCTATTCATCCATTATCAATAACCCTGCCCATTGAGTGATTCTTGGATGCCAAACGCTGTGCTCTATGCCGGGATTGCAGCAGCTACCATCTTCTGCTCTCTGGGACTGGCCATGCATGAAAGTCCAGCAATACGAGAGCCCAGCTCCTTCCCACCACTAATGCTCTATGCTCTATGCTCTATGCAGTTCAAAACAGCGATTAAAACTCAACAGGCCACAGTTTGAATGGTTTCTGTCCTACTAACTGCTGTGTTACCTTGAACAGCTGATGTAACCTCTTTGAAGCTTTTTAAATGAAGGTTTTCACTTAGGAATAAATATTGAAAATATTATAAATCATTTAGGAGTAGTACACATATTATAGTAAACTCTCTACCCATCCACTCATACATCCAGTTGTCCTTTCAACAAACATATTTTGAGTACCTATCCATGCACCAAGCAGTGCTTGGGGGCACTGTCAATTCCACATTGGATAACACAGACATAATTTCTGATCTTTGGAGTTCACCTTGTACAGGTGAGAGATAGATAGACAGATAGGGAGATAGACAGTAAAATGATTAGCAAATGAGACTTTTTGGAAAGCTCTAAATTCTATAAGAAAGATGAGAACAAGATGATTTGAGAGGAAAGGGGGTGAGTTCCTTCTGAGTGATGGGAGATGAGCTCCTGGAACAGGAAATGTTTGAGCAGACAATCGAGTGCTAAGAAGGCATCTAGGTCCTGATTGGGGAAAAGCAGCCTCCAAGTAGAGAGACAGCATGTGCCAGACCCTGAGGCTGAAACAGAAGCTTTCAAATCCCAATAGCCATTGTCCTCACATTTCTGTGATGTCATTTTTTGTTTACACAGATCACAATTAGTCAGGGGCTTGATACTGAGTTCACTAGAAAGCTGACATTCCGTGACTTCTCTATCTGCCAAAGCAGAGTTTTCATTAGTACTCCTGTGCCACCAACACCCAGCATCACGTATCTACCTCAGGAACACCTGGCTGCTGGGGAGATTTTAATCCCTTTAATCTATACAGAGGCTATAGAAAATATCATCTGTCCTAGAGGAAAAGATGAACTACACGAAAAGACATCTTAAAAGAGAGAAAGTGAAAAGGAAAATTAAAAATACCAGCAGTAGTGTAGTCTCTGAGACAAACCCACCCTGGGTCTTTGAGGGCAAGGTAGACTTCACTGCCAGTGACTGCCAGTGTCCTGTGTCCCACCTGGTCTTCATCACTTGCGCATAAATCGATGCTGCCAGCCCCAGGCAGGATGCCTGGCCCTACATAACACTGCCCAGCTGCTAACAAAGGAATGATCAACTGCAGTGCAGCCCACCTCACCCAGCACTGCCGCATTACCTGGCCAGGAGCAGTTAAGTCTCTTTGGTTTCCTTGGAAATGTCCCATCTGTCCATCCTCGCTGCCCTGGCTCTTGAGAAATGCCCATGCATGGTAGAGATGTGACAGGGACACAGTGCCTTTGTTTTCCAATGGAAAGTTTCCCGAATACAAAGTGAGCCTACAAGATGGATTAGCATTCTCCAGAGGCCTGCCTGGCCTGACAGGAAGGAAAGCCACAGTGCCATCAGGAACTCAGAGACAGTCAAAGACAGGGACAAACATGTCCCATCAGGCTGGGCCCCATGGCTAAGTTCTCAGAAACCCAACTGGGAGTTTTTCTGACTGAAGATTCTGTGCTTGGACCTTAAAGATGAGAAAAATCAATCACAGATACCGTGTGTATTTATGTACTCTGCTAGCATTATAAACTATGGCACATACATTTTCTAGACTGTGAAGAGCTGTGCCTACATTAACTCAAGCACACATGTAGGTCATTCTAAACCCGTGGGTTTGGAGACCTGGTGAGCACAGGTGCCCTTTGAATTCAGCAGGTTCATTTGGAGTCAGCTATGCTTGAACTTGGGTCAGAGTTCCCTTTTGGAAAAGTTGGCTGTAAGTCTTAGTTCCTTTGACAAGGTAAGGAAGTTGTAACTACTTCATGGGTTATTCTTGGGGTGGGGTGGTGTTCAGTGCTGAGCGCCCACCTGTAGTAGATGCGGTTATGAGGTGTTGTACCATGTCTAGGGAAAAGCAGAGCACACCTTCTATAAAAGCTCTGCTCTCATAGTGTTTAGTAGGTGTATCTACTTAGGGCTAAGGACCCAGGATGAGTAAGACTCCTGAGCCCATCAGGGACTTAGTCAGTCAAATCCACTTTTCTCATGACTCACTTTACATGGAATTAACCAAGACTTTCTATTTTGTTCTATTCCAGAAACATTCTTTAGTCTTCTGTCTACCTCTACAACCTCACCAAATGTTCTGGGACAGAATATTGAAAAGGCCATTTCCAGTTTGCCAGCCAAAACCCAACCTGTGTCCTAGAGGACAGAGTGAGAGGTCTGTGGTTTTCCTTTAATCTGTATTATCCCAGAAGAGGGTGCACCACCTAGCACCTGCCAGAAGCTGGAGAAAGTCCCCTTAGATAGCCTGGCTAGGGCCGAAGTTCATGAGGCCCATGGACAGTGGATAGAAGTCAGAAATCCCAGAGCCACTCTCTTTTAACTTCTGTGTGGCTCCCACGAATCCCTCATCTTCTCTGATATGTAATTTACCTATTTGAAAAGTCAATTTAATCCCCCTATAGGAAAAGTGACCAGTTCTGAAATTCAATGATGCTGTGGTGTTCTCTTGACACCTAAGAGAACAGGGGCTCTACTGGAGCCATCCCAGTGTGAGTAAAAACTAGCATT